AATGTTTTTGTCACTGCTAAGCAGTGCTTACACACAGCCAAGGCCTTTTCTGCTTTTCACACCACCCCATCAGTAAGCAGGCTGGGGGTGCACAAGAAACTGGGAGGGGACACAGCTGGGACAGCTGACCCCAACCAACCAACGAGATACTCCATACCATACAACATCGTGCTCAGCACATAAAGCTGGGGGAAGAAGGAAGGGGGGAATGTTCAGAGTGATGCCATTTGTCTTCCCACATAACGGTTACGCTCTCCAGGAGATGGCTGCACACCTGCCTGCCAAAGGGAAGTAGCGAATGAATTCCTTGGTTTGCTTTGCTTGTGGATGTGGCTTTTGCTTTACGTATTAAACTGTCTTCATCTCAACCCATGAGTTTTCTCCTTTTTAATCTTCTCCACAACACCACCAAAAACGAGGAGCAGGCTGCAGGACACTAGAAGAGATGAGAAAAATGGCAGGCAGCTGCTGGACAGGGGGTGTAGTGAGAAAGCATGAGGCAGGGAACAGGACAGTGAAAGAAGGACAAGGACACTTAGCCTGACAGAGACAGGGAAAGAAGCAGCAGGGAGAGGGAGAAGAAAGCAGGACAGAGACCAACAAAGAAGGATGGGGAGCAGAATGGAGATGCAGAAAAAAACTGGGACAGGCAGCAGGACTGAGAGGGAGGAAAGAAGAGCAGGACAGAGAGAGATGGAGAAAGACGAAAGACCAACAAAGAACAGGGCAGAGAGGGAGGATGAAACAACAGGGGCAGGGAACCTGGACAGTGAAAAATAGAAGGGGGGTGGGGAACAATACAAAACAAACCACAGAGCTACACGCTACAGGGCAGAGAGGGAAGAATTAAGAAACAGGGACAGGGAGCCAGAAAAAAAGAGCGCTGGAGAGTAAAAAGAATAGCAATGTGTACTGAAAGAAGAGGAGAGGGAATTCTAAATTAGGGTCATTGGGGAGCCAGAGACAGTGAGATGGAGAAAGGACAAAAGCAACAGGCTACAGGGCAGAGAGGAGGAACAGGGACAGAGACCTGGCCAGAGAGAGATGGGGAAAGGCAAAAGATTGCATGGGCAACAGGGAGGAATTCAAAAACCAGGGACAGGGAGCCAGACAGAGAGGCAGAAATAAAATGGAGTAAAGCAACAGGCCACAGAGGGAGGAACTGATAAATAGGGACAGGAGACCGGACAGAGCATGGTGGACAATGGAAAAAACCAGCAGCAGGCTACAGGGAAGAGGGAGGAATTAACAAACAGGGACTGGGAGCTGGACACAGACAGGAAGAAAGAATTAAAAAAAAAAAAAAAAAAAGGTGATGGGCTACAAGACATCCCCTACAAGACAGGGAGGAAATACAAAATAGCAGCAGAGAGTGGGACAGAGAGAGATGGATAGACAGGGCATTGGACAGAGACAGAAAGAAAGAAAAAAAAACTGTGGCAGGCTACTGGGCAGAGAAGAGTTTAAAAATGGGGACAGCGAGCAGAGTGTGAGGGAGAAAGCAAAGAAATGACAGCCAACACATCAGGAAGTGTCATGCCAACAGAGAGGAAGGAATTAAGAAAGAGGAACAGCGAGACACACAAACTGAGATGTGGAAAGAAAAACACAGCAACAGGCTAAGGGGCACAGAGGGAAAACTTAGAAAAACAGGGACAGGGAACAAGACCAAATGAGATGGAGAAAGGAAAAAAATCCTGTCAGGTGACAGGACAGAGAGGGAGGAATTCAAAATGAGGGGCAGGATAGAGATGGATGGAGAAAGAAACAGTCACGATGTGCTACAGAGCGGAGAAGGAAGAAACTGAACAACAGGGACGGGGAGCTGGACAGAGAGAGCCAGGGACTGAAAAAATATTGATGGGTGACAGGACCGAGAGGGAGGAATGCAAAAATAGTGGATGAGGGCCAGACAGAGAGAGATAGGGGGGGAAAAGTAGCCATGGGCTGCAGGACAGCGAGAGGGAGGACCTAAAAGACAGGGACATGGAACTGCTCAGAGCGAGATGGAGAAAGGAAGTACGGGGGGGGAACCACAACATGGTGGGAAATAGAAGGGGCCAGGGGAGGAACTGGGACACACAAGAGGGGCAACAGGGCCCTGAGGGCCAGGACTCACCACAGCTTTCATTCTTGGTGCTGCCAGGACAATTTGCCAGTTCAGACGCTTCTTTCTGCTTCTCTCCTCCCTTCCTCTTCTGTAGCTAGTCACTTGGCTGTTCTCCACCTAAGAGAACACGTGGGTGTCTCACAGCTCTTACGAGATGAGGCTTTCCAGACACGCTGCCTCACTCACTCGTGCACTACACTGCCGTACACGCTGCTGCTGACATACAGACCCTGCGGTGCACGTTGGCAGCCTGGCCTGCTGTGGACTACTAAGCGCGATCCTTCCTCACCCGGAGGTGGGCTCGCTCCTGCCTG